AAAAAATTTTCTTCTGTAGCAAAAATAATTCAATTCGCTTGAACAGAGAATCAAACCACTGACCTCGGGATTAACAACTAAGCAATTCAAACCATACCACTGACGACTGCAATCTAGCTGGTAAAAGTAATTCAAGTTTTTTTTAATCATTTCCGCAATTTTTCATAAGTTGCACAATGGGACCATATTATGCTCCTAATTAGTCTACAGTTTTGTGACTTGGTAAAGTAGTATAATTAATATAATATGTCTAACCAGTTTCTATATTATAGGTTTCAATAAATTATTTTAAATTAATATTCAAAATATTCATTTTTATAAGGAAAGTGTTGCGACTCATTGAAATATTCTTGTGCTTTCTGCATAAACTTAAGGCCAATAAATTTTTTCCCCTTAAATTTGAACCTAAGTATTCAAATTTTACTACATTTATTTTTACAATATAGCTGTAAACTACAACAAACAACTAAATTTTAATCAAATCAGTTAGAGTACCAATTTATATTCCTTTCATACGAGCGTCGGATCATCAGCACAAAAGCTCATATTCTGAATATACATAATGGCCTACAATGCCCGTTCAATATTAATCTATAACTTTGAAACTTTGCCAGATATTTTGCTACATTGAATCACTCACCATGCAAAGCAGTAAAGTTATAGACGAAATAGGGAAGGAGTCTCATTGTGTTCCCTATATAGATCCGCGAAAATTTGTTTAGAATATTGAAGCCCGTTTAACGGACTGCAGTCTCTAAAACTGAAATAAAACAACGAAGTAAGTCCCAAAATCATGTGTAAATACCAGCTGCTTATTATTAGGTAATTACTTTTTCTTTTTATTATAGAATTATTCTATTCCATTAGGAACTGCCTTTTAGAATTTTAATAAAATATTTTCAATTATCATTCTCAAAATTCCTCTTTATATAGAAAGCGTCGCGACACCTTAAAGAATTTCTAAACATTTCTTGTGTTCTCTGCATGCACCTAAATACCTATATATTCTCAGCATATATCTCGAGAAACGAGGAATCTATCATAGCTTATGAAAATACCAAATGCAAGTGCTTAATAGTTAATTATTTTTATTACAGAAATATTCGATTCCATTCTTCTTCTTTCATAGCATTACAGACTGTTACAGCCAAGACCACCCCAAGTAGTCTTTGCCATGTGCTCCAACTCGGAGTAAAACTCTTCCAGTGTCCTTCATTAAATATTATAGACCGTATAAAAGACTTTCTCCTCAAAGTCAAGCTACATTATTCGTGGTCTCGTTTTCTGTTTACCACGGTATTAGTAAAAGTAGCTTTTTTACTGGGTTTGTATTATCAGAACGGAATACATATCCGAGTTACTGTGGTCTTTGCATTTTATGACTTTAACAATCAGTTTTCCATGGTGTTTGTTCATTTTGTATCTCATTCGTGGCCAGGATGTGGTCTGGTTCAGGTCAAAATTACGATCTACGAGTGGATGGGGTGTGGATATGTCCTCCCTTTTAAACGAAACGGAATATGATGAATCTCCGAATCACTCTAAGGGATGTATCCCAGACCATCGCCAATAGCCCATTGCGCAGCTAGTATCACGTAAATAAAAAGTATCGAAGCGTATCTCATTCGCAGTCGCGAATTTTTCAGAGCATTCATACCGTATGTAATCGCATGCAGATGCAATTTGCGCACGAGTGAGCAGTTTGTTTTAAAGACCATTCTCGCTCTTTGTGATTTTTTTCACTGGAAAATATTTTCCCATGAAAAACTTTTCAATCAGGTTCTCATATACTTTCGATTTTTTCATATGCGGATCGCTAATGGTTGCGATTTTTTAACATGAGAAAAAATTGTTCCACGTAACGTGACATTCGTCCCACGTATTGTAAACATTCGCACGCGCGTCTGGGGTAAGCTTACCTGCATCCTGAAAAAACTAGAATCTTGTAAAATTTCTATACAAGAGCTTTATCTTTCCAAATCAATATAGAACGGAAATCCCTCGCAGGAATTCTCTAAATGAAATAAGGTTGTTGAATATGTTAAAAAGGTGAGTTTTCGATTGTTCTTTTAGAAATTTTTAGACCAGATTTTTAGTTTTTCTCAACTTAGTCTATTCCAATCGGATGCAGTGTGTACGGCTTTTCCTACCCAGTGAAAATGCTCCTTAAAAGTTTTAGGTGCAAAGCTTAAATGGATCAATTTAAGTGGAAATTGATAATTCAGCAGGAAATGTACATCTCATCTTACTACTCATTCGTTTGTTAGTAAACAAAAGAACAACTGAATATTTGTGAGAAATATCTGAAACTAAAGTTTTATAGCTCAGATCACTATATTCCTTTAAAACCAGTACATAAGTTAAATATTAACGTCTTTTGTAATTAGTATTACTGTCAAAGATATGAAATATTTTTGGATTATGTTTCTTATTACATCACTTTTTAATTAATCACTATCTTTATCACAGTATTTTATTTCTTTTTTTAAAATGATGTTTGCATCTATCTTTCGAAGTTTGAAATTTGTCCGACATTTAAACCTAAAAGTTGTTCGACTGTATTCTGTACCAAAGGTAAGACCTTTTGAAGCTGATACTTTCGATAATTAGCTTGATATTAAAAATCATGTTCTGACCTTTTATCCCAGATGAATGCAATGTGAACTTTTGGTTATCTCTAATAAATTTTGTTAAATGTTTGTAAGCAAGAATATTTCTGTAGATCACGTTAAAGTTGCTGAAATAGATTGAGAATTTATTTTTATCGACTTAAAGATAAAAGCTTTTATTTTTGTTTGATTTTTCTAAATATTTTATGCTGATCAATAATCCATTTTAACACAGTCTGCTGTGAATCATGATTATTAACGCAATAATAAAAAAAAAAAATTGACAAAAAATTAAATTTACTTCTCTTCCATAAACTCTTCTTGACTTGATACTAATTATGTGGACTTATATTTATTTCAATAATGAACAGATACGAAATACATAGACTAAAATGGGGATATTTCTCTGCATTTGTCCTATTTGTGTGCCAACTGAAATTGCCAATGTGTCAGTAATTTCACAGTCAATTAACTTGTACTAAATTTTATACATATAAGTGTAGAAATCAGTGTTTTTATTACGGAAAAAAAAATGGGAGAGAATTTCTCACCCTTTCTCAAAAACAGGGTGAGATTTCAAAAAGTTAAGTGAGATTTCTAATAATTAAAAAAACACGAATAGACTTGGAAAAAAATTATTTCTTCAATTATAATACATTTTTAACATCTTCTAATTGAATATTTTTGCTGCATCATCATATGGAAAATGTTCTATATCTACTTTTTCATCAGCTATTATATTTATTTGGCTGAAAAATATCCGTATTTGTTTCATTTTGACCGTTTCTACCGACATTTGTTTCATTTTCATTTGTCTGCTACGGAGTAGAAGACGTCGCCTTAACAAGGTATATGTCCATCTTAGATTCATGCACAAAAAATTTAACCGTCTTACATGAAGAAACCTTACCTACGCTGAACACGTGGTTGCAGAGAAATGTGTTCTGAAAGGGGTTCCGTGGTTCGGGAGGGCGTGGTGTTCTGCTGTTCCCACCGGTTCTGAACAATACTGGTAAATAGGGAAGCTAGATAACAAGGACCGATGTTCAAAATAATGAAAGATCAAGGAAGAAAAGTGAAACGGATTTTATTCAAAATGGCAAAAGAGGAAAATTTTTCCAAAATTCCGGCATTTTAAAATTGATTAATAGAGTGCCCGAACTTCTCACGTTTATCATTTTTTATTGCGAGAAAGGAAAGAAATATGCGAGATTTTCGCGTTCCCGAGCTGTAGTGAAAACACTGAGAAATATATTAGTTAGAAATATTCACTGACTTCTCCAGTGGTGGTTATGAGTTAAAACTCTATCAACTCATTCAACTACTCTCTAACTCTATTGTTTAATGTTGATTCAAACTCTATCAATAAGAAACTTTTAACTATTGAACAGCAACAAATTCCTATGATCTGAAGTCATAGGCACATTGTGACACCTCTTATTTCACTCTATCGCACCTTAGTGTGCTGCAGCACTTGCTTTAAGAATTCCTAATGAGTAGCAAAAGCAAAAATCATGGCACAATCTTGTTTGGTAAAAATTAAAAATCATGACATTTATAAAACCCTCTGTTATAGGCTGAACACTTTTTGACAAGTAGTCTTCCATTTCTTATATGAAAATAACCTGTAACTTATGTTAAACTTTTACTATTTTACACCTTTTTTTTCTGTTGAGCTATTGCGCATAACTCTTAATTTAATCATTGAAAATTTATCTAATTTCAGTCTTTCTATTCTATTTTTTTTTAAATTTCTGAATTAAAATTATTTTTAATTTTCTATTTATTCTATGCTAGTTTTTTTTTTTTTTTAATTTCCGAATTAAAATTATTTTTTTCATTCAAGGTCAAAATAATTGGCATTAAATAAAAGCTACATTTAAAAAATTAGGTATAGTGTCATTTAAATGACTTATGGTAGTTATGATTTATCTGGTATATTTTTATGTTTATAATTGTAACTAATCACTTGCTTTTCAGTACTATTTCCAATTCTTACTGGATTATTCAAAATTTCAGGAAAACCCCATATAAAACTCTGAAAACACGCAAAATCTGAAAGGGGAAAGAAAAAAACATAAATTTATGAGAACTCAAAACCAAACACCAAAAGGAAAAGAAGATGTCTGTTTTTATTATTGTACTTACTGAGTTAATTAATATTTTTAAAGTGTAACTATCAAGGGGTAATATATTAAAGAACTTGGCTATAATTTCAACATAACTCTACAATATTTCCCTAGAATGCCATTATAATAGTGAAGCATCTATATTTATATCTATTTGCAATCTTATAAATTGATTTCATAGTGTTCTGTGCTATATGTCATCTGTTATATAATACTTTTCACAATATTCTTACTAAAATTTCTTTTAAAAAATATTTTCTAGAAAAAGAAACCTGGTACTGAGTTAGCTATGGACCATTTCGACCAATTCTATAGCACTGTCTACAAAGACTGGCCTTCTATCCGTTTAGGGCTCTTATGTCCTCATCACTACTGTGCTGTTGCAAATACCTTCTGTGCAAACAAGTCTCCTGAACACCTGTTTGGCGACTCAGATTTGTTTGATATGAAAACCATGTATCATCTGAATCTAAGAGAGAACCCAGATGCAGGTCCAGAAGAAATAGAAGAGCTTCCTGAATACAATCCTCCTGAAGAACAAATGACTCATCCAGATTCATTATCAGATAATGAAAATGATAGTGAGTTAGTACCTTGCGATCAGGATGAGTACATGCCTGCAACTGAGTTTAAGAACAGAGAGTTTGAATCTGATGAGTGTGATGAATTTTATTTCCCTAAAATTAATTACAAGGCAAAACTGATTCGGCATGGTGTTATACATTTTCCTGAGCACTGGAATATTTACTATTGTTTCAGAGGGAAATTCAAAAGATTTCCTCAGCCCAGAGTAGATGTTACTGGATTGCTAAGTAAGTAGTTTTTTTCAAGCCTAGATTCATTGCAGTGTAGTCCATCTTCCTCAAGGAGGATGGTGACTGTGATGACGAAATTTGGTATGGTTGTAATTGTATGGTATAGTTGAAGATTCATTGCAGTGTAGTCCATCTTCCTCAAGGAGGATGTTGACTGTGATGACGAAATTTGGTATGGTTGTAATTGTATGGTATAGTTGAAGATTATGATGAAATCAGGATCATGACCATAATAAAATTTTTATTCGGTAACAGTTTCAGAGCTCAAGATACAAAATTAAAGAATATTTTATGAAAAAGACTTTTTAAGTGAAATAATAAATTTTGCATAATAATATCAATGAGGACAGACCATTGGAAAATAAACAGAGCTGCCATTCCACAGGAAAAACCTGGAAAATACAGGGAATTAAAAAATAACCTAAAATACCAGGAATTGTGATTTTTTCTTTGCAAACTGTGAAAATACAGGGGATTTTGTTTCTTATTTTCGTCTTTTAAAAAATGGTGATTACTCAAAATGCAATCTATGGCATATTTAAGGATGATATTTCAGCTATACTATACTATTTAATTTACTCTAACATTATTTGTTTTAAATATATATAGCTGTACCTTTTTTCTCTAAGTTTCTCCAGTAATTAAAGTTAGTATAGTTAGTACAATATAGCGCAGTGATGGTGTGTTTCTACTTAATATATTGTGTATAATATGTACGGGGAATTTTATTTCTAGATGTGAGTGGCAACCCTGAGTAACAATTGCAGAGCTCGAGATACAAAATTAAACAATATTTTATACAAAAACTTTTTAAGTGAAATAATAAATTTTGTATAATATCAGTAAGATAAATCTGACATGACCGGCCTGATCAAAAGCCAAATTAATAAGTGATTGAAATGTTCTCAACAGACAGTTAGGAGCATGGGAAGAGATCCATGGTTGTCGATTTATCGACACATAAAATAGCCAAAAACAAAGCCAACCCCTCCCAATCAATATTAAATTTGAAAAATAATTTGGCGAAAGCGAATCACCAAAAAGACCGTGAGAATTAGTCTAACCATATAATTGAAACATTTTTGTGGTAACAGTTATAAATAGATGATAGTGATAGAGTTGTAAATAGAGTTATAAATAAAGAGTTATAAATAGATCTTGTTTTCAATTTTGGCACGACCCTGAATAAATGAGTTTTACAGTAGCGTTGAAATAAAAAGTTATTCATTACATTGATTGTTAAGAAAAGAATTAAATATCTTATGTTTGCTTTTTATGAAATGTAATAAAAATTAAATGATAGGTTTGATTTAATTAAAATTCGGTTAAGAATGATTAAAAGTATCTACTACATCTCTGTATATATCAGCTAACACTAATGTTTGCTTACGCAAAGTGTTAACATGTCAAGGCTGACTTTTGGAAAATAAATAACAGTTGTGCGTAATCTGTTTAACATTAATAACTCTCAACAATGTTTTAAAAATCTTAATTTTAGTGATCAACATTTCTCAATGAAATATTTATTTTCTATTAGATTATTATTTAATGGATGGAGCATCTATATTACCTGTTCTTGCATTGGATGTTCAAAAGAATGAAGATGTTGGAGATTTGTGTGCTTCTCCTGGTGGAAAATCACTTGCTATTTTATTTGGACTCAGATTTGGTATTTAATTTATTATCCTTTTAACTCGCTAAGAACAAATTACAGTTTGTTGTCTTTCCAATTCAAATAAATATTGCAATTGACATTTATCAGAAAAAGTTGTAAATAATAAAATAATGTTCACTATAATTCAAGATTGACAAGTTTCTGCCACATTTGTGTCAGAAACTGGCAGAAATTCAGAAAAGGGCATAAAAGTAAATACTGAGATTGGCATACAATGGATAATTCATAAAAAAAAAAACAATTAAATGTTAAACAAAGTACAATTTTTTTTATAAAATTATCACCATTCAAGATCAAATATTACATTGTTTGCACTTTGCAGTAATCTATAACAAAATACAAGTTTTGATGGAGTTTCTGAACCTAAACAATTTCTTTTCTCAATTTGATATACTGCACTCTTTATATTTTATATAAACAAAATAGTATATATTTACAAAAAATGAATTAAAAAGTTTGCTACACTTGCATGGAGTTACATTTTTCAGTTTACTTAAACAAAATGTCATTAAGCAATTACTGGAACTAATGTAGGTGCTTTTTTAGTTTCTGCCAGTTTTTACCGGTTAAAACCAGTTTCTGCCACTGGCATGGCAAAAACCAGTTTCTGCCAGCAAAAAGCCAACCCTGCTATAATTGCAAAATATTGCAATTTAAATTTATCATAATTACTAATGGATATAATGAACATCCAGAAACTTCCTCTAACCAGCCTACTTAGCCAGATTTTTACTATCCAGTTATTTCCCCCACCCCGAAAACGAATTTAGGTACCTAGTCTCAGTTATATAATGTTATTAACCAGTATCCGGACCTGGCTAGTTTTACCTCTCGCTGGGTTTACCACAACCACCCCACTCCAAAAATTGTATCCAGAACTAATTGGATAAAAGATTTCATTTTTTGCTGGGTACTTTGACCCAGCGAAGTTTTAGGACTCGGGGCATTTATAATAATCACAAATATTTTATTTAAATTTGATATAATTACAAAAATTTTTTAATTAATGTTAATTATTATAATTGTAGTATTATCTTCTACTTTACATGGGTTGAGAGTTTTTTCTCCTAATTTCACTGAATTTAAACAATATTATAATTGCTGTATTATAAATTGCAAAGAGTTAAAGGATATTTAATTAACTTTCTGTTATGTTTTATAATTAGAAGGTTAATTTTATCTCAAATTTCAAAGAAATTAAACCAACAAATGTATATATAACTTGAAGAATGAAAAGCAGTAGAAAATTAATTTGAATGTTATTTAAATGTGAAACTTAGTTTCAAAACTTTAATTATTGCTTTTTATATATAACATAGGAGGATTGTCCTATTTAGCTTGCATAAAGCAAGCTTTATTACAAGTTAAATAGGATTTTCTTTTAAAGACTTAAAATAGTCGACTATTAAAGTTTAGGCAAAGGTATGTTTAAGCTAAAAAAAACTTTACACTGGTGTAAGAAATTAAGGGAATTTGACTTATCTCTAGGACTACTGGGCTTTAATGAAAATTGATCTGTACATACATTGATACAAAACAGTCAACAATTGTATTAAACACTCGTTGGAGTTGGAAGGTATGAAGCAGCAGAATAAACCAGAGAATGAGTTAATTGGTCCCCTATTACAGTTTGATTTCATACTTGAAATAATCCTTTCCTGTGGCAAATTAAACCGCCATAATGCTCGATTTCGCGGACATTGGAGGGTACCTGGTTCTCTCCATGTGAACGTACAGCAAGGAGAATTAGTGTAAAAAAAAAACTTTATTAACTTTAATCACTTGTTTTTGAGCTTTCATACTGTTTTGACAACTATGTGAATATCATAGTTATTTTCTTTATAAAAATAGTATTTTTTAAATCTTCAGTAACTTGTGTCTTACCAATTACAGAGGTATGTTATTATTATAATTAATAATATTATTACTGTATAAATGTGTGTTATTACCAGGGGGGGGAATGGAATATATATTTATATAGATAAAGTTAAAAATATAGAGAAAACATGGAAAAAATATAAAAATTTTTTCAAACAGAAGAAGAAAAATTATTGAAACTAGGAGGCTCCGCCCCCTGATCGCTAACGCTTGCCAACCCCCAAGAATTGCTACGCAATCCTATGTGGTTCACGCCGTGAACCATGGCTCGCTGCGCTCGCTCGCCAATGAACACGATGTTCTAGTGCAAAGACATAGTATATTATCATCAAAGACATAGTATTTTATCATCAAAGACATAGTATTGTACTTATGTAGAAGAATTCTATCAATGTTCTTATTAGCTTTTAAAAAAGTGTATTAGCTATTTAGATTGTACATGGTGAAAAAATCAAAACATTAGCTAAATGAGAAACATATTAGCAAAATAAATTATCAAATATTGCTTCACTAATATTCTGCATTTTAAAGCGTGAAAATTCAATGCGTAAATAAACGCGAAATATAAAAAAATTCAANTATATATATATATATATATATATATATATATATATATATATATATATATATATATATATATATATATATATATATATATATATATATATATATATATATATATATATATATATATATATATATATATATATATATATATATATATATATATATATATATATATATATATATATATATATATATATATATATATATATATATATATATATATATATATATATATATATATATATATATATATATATATATATATATATATATATATATATATATATATATATATATATATATATATATATATATATATATATATATATATATATATATATATATATATATATATATATATATATATATATATATATATATATATATATATATATATATATATATATATATATATATATATATATATATATATATATATATATATATATATATATATATATATATATATATATATATATATATATATATATATATATATATATATATATATATATATATATATATATATATATATATATATATATATATATATATATATATATATATATATATATATATATATATATATATATATATATATATATATATATATATATATATATATATATATATATATATATATATATATATATATATATATATATATATATATATATATATATATATATATATATATATATATATATATATATATATATATATATATATATATATATATATATATATATATATATATATATATATATATATATATATATATATATATATATATATATATATATATATATATATATATATATATATATATATATATATATATATATATATATATATATATATATATATATATATATATATATATATATATATATATATATATATATATATATATATATATATATATATATATATATATATATATATATATATATATATATATATATATATATATATATATATATATATATATATATATATATATATATATATATATATATATATATATACATATATATATATATATATATATATATATATATATATATATGCCTATTTGTCATTATATTTACTTGTATATTTTCATAGTTTAGTAGGCCTCAAAGTTATTTTTTTGCAAAATTTGTGATCATTTTTAAAGTTTTATTACTGTTTGGTTTAACTAATAAATGAAGAAATTTTTACTTTCAATTGTTGTGTGATAATAATAGCAACTTTCAGTTTAATATTGATTACATTGTTATAGGTCAGCTTGTTTGCAATGATGCTAGCCTCTCTCGGGTGAATAAGTTGAAAACAGTTTTGAATTCTTATCTTCCCGGGACATCAGAGTGGAGCAAAAAAATCTTAGTTTCAAATCTTGACGTTTGTGACTGGAGATGCTTTGATGCTTTTGACAAGGTAACTGTAAAAAATTAGCTAATAGGAGTTAAAGCAATATTATGAATAATTATTAATAAAGTATTATAAATAAAGTATTTTATATTTAGCAGTTATTAAATTATAAGTAATATGTGACATTTTAGCAGTCAATTGACGCCACTTTTTTTGTTTTTACAGAGCAAGTTTCTTTAAAATATCTTCTTTTTATCTTTAAAATTCACCTCGATAATTTAAGCATTAATAAGTATGCATTTGCCAAAAATTAAAAATTTCACTTCGAAATAAGCAAAACAATTATTATTTTCATGTTTGCATCTGGAGTGCAAAAACTAATAGAATTTCTAATAAATTTTTATTGTCAACTTCTTATTTAATTCATAGCTAAATAATAATTTGATAATTATTAATGACTTAAAAAAGAAAACTTCCAACATTAATATGTGCGACTGGAGATGCTGATGCTTTTGTCAAGGTAAAATAAAATACGTAACAATGATTTATTATGATTAATTAACAAAGTAATATGAATTATTTTAATAGTGTGTGTCAATTTATAAGTTATGATTTAATGCTTGACAAAAAATGATTTAGTTGATTACTTCACTCTTCTTTTTTCTCTCGAGATTATAAAAATTGTTTATCAAGATTATACAAGACCTTAGTTGACAATAATTTTTCTGAAAATTTAAATATTTTTTAATTTTAAAAACTTATAGTCTTTTAACTCGAAAATTAATACATTTGATACATTTGCCTTTCGACATTTTATCAAAAATGAAAGTTTTCATTTCCAAAAAGATAAAAAATTATTATTTTCCTTTTTATGCTTGAATTGAATGCAAACATCATTAGAATTCGTATTTATTCATCATTAGAATTAGTAAATATTTAGTATGAATTCTAATGATCCTTCTTATTTAATATCTCTGTGAAGAAGAAAATAATAAATGTTTTTTTTTTAGTACATTTTAATTTTCGATTAATTGAGAAGGTCAGGTGCATTCAAAATTGCTAAATCCTCAATTGAAGGGTAAAAATGTGAAGAAAGAGAAAATTTTATTTCCAAAAAGCATTCATACAAAATTTGTGTTTTGCTAATGGATGTTTGTGTTTGTGGTTTGCTAAATGGATGTTTCGCTAATCGCGATCCGGAAGTTTCCAGAAATCATTGATCACATTTATGTATAAAAATTCTGGTATATTTTATTCAAAAACATTCAAACTAGAATTTGTACTTGGCATCTCTTTCATTTGTAAATATTTTCTCTGGTAGAATAATAAATGTGATTAGAGATAAAAGTAAACTTATACATAAATATCCATTTAAATTATACTGCATATAATTTATTTAGAATTTCATGTTTTGAAAATATCAGTGATTTCAATTTATAGAGACATTAATTTTTCTAAAATGTGTCATTAATGATTTAACTCAAGAAATTTTCAGGATTTTTGAGTAGGGCACACAATCATCCCTGAAACTGTGCTAAATGGGAAAAAATTGAATACAGCTTTTTTCACAATTACAGCGATTTTGAAAGTATTTTATTTTCTCCTTAAATAATCCTTGTTTAAGTGCATAGATCAGCTAAATCCAAGGACATATTGTTAGAAAAAGATGCTAATTTTCATCAAAATTGAACGTTTCTAAAGTTGCTGTTTTTCAGAAACAAATCAAAATTTTTATGTGGAAAGAATCGAGCAATTTGCATAGATCCAAATATCTTTATTTTTTATAGTTTTTATCAGGACATTTCAAAATGTAGCTTTTGTCTTATACCGTTTTTATGGCAGTGCATATTGCGGTAATTTTCTGCTTCCAACGCCAGTTTAATTCTTGTGAAAAGAATTCATGATATAGTTAATGTTCTCTAGTAGAACCACCATTTCAGGTATCTTACATTATAATGACAAATACACAAAATCGTATTTACTATCCTATATACTCAATGTTATTTTAATGGTCGGTCTTACTTGAGTCCAGTATTGCTGACAAAATTAAGTAATTTGATTAATTAAAAGTTTCAAAGAAATTATTCGAATCATTTATCTTACTTCACATTAAATTGAAAAAAATCTTAAATTCTCTTTAAATGACAAAACACAACCTCCAGGTTGTCTTGATCTATGGACAAAAAGATTTACTTTACATTGATAAACCAAAAGGTGTCTATTGCACTGTAACATGGAAATTAGCATGGAGTTCCACATTGCATTCCAAGTTGAAAGGAGGCTTTGTAATTCTTGTCAAATGGTACAATAAATGTATCAGTAATACTTCTCTTGTTTGAAGTCTTTATTTACTCTTTGTAAATTGTTACTCCTCTTAACTAAAACATATGGTGTTTGCAGTTATCTTCACCTATGTTATTTATCAAAAATGTCTGCCTATATTTTTTCATCTAATATGTATTATTTCGTATTGTTCTTTTGCAGTATATGTACTTGAATTTACATTTGTAATAAAAAGATGTTTATTGCACTGTACAGAACAAACACACACAAAAAAAAATTTTGTTATCAATACATATTTGGTTATTTACATAGGTTTAATTAAATAAAGCGTTTTATTAAGAAAAGTCTTTGTCCATGAGTGAATATTTACAATATTTTTTTGCTCTCAAGATATTGCAAAATCACGTTATAACATCCATCTTTACATCAAGCATTAACTGTATTTTGCTGAAGCATAGCATTCTTGTCTACTATGCGGAAACAGGCATTTCTAGAGTTTACTTCAAGTAGCTTGTTTATAGTGCACCACAAATACTGTCTACCCTTTTACTTATATTTGTGTTGTTTTCTGTATTATTTAATTTCAGCAGAGATAAAGTTTAAATATTAAGTTACTGTGTCTGCTTATATAATAAGAAAAATATTTGAATTTATTTTTATATCCTATTATCTTGAAATTGTAGAATTTTTATTTCTTCTTCTCACTCAAGATACCTGCCATAAATATTATTTAATTTCATTTTTAGTTGTTATTCACTATTCTAATTTACCATTACACCAAATACATTACACCTGTTTACCATTACACCTGTTACCATTACCATTACACCTGTTTTTAAATTCAATCAGGAGATTGAATTTAAGAACAGAAAATTGTGCATGAAAAATGCAGTTAATTGATATTTGAAAAAAAAAAATTAAAAAATGCTACCAGATTTAATATACTGGAAATTTTAAACTAGATTTATTATCATATTCAAATGTAACTTTAATCACACGACAAGCTATACTCGTCATTTTACCGGAAGGGGTTATATATGGTAGTTTTCCTTTGTTGAATTCACTTTTATTTTGTATTTTTTGTCAACGTCGATAATTGAAATTAATTTTATTTTTACATAAGTTTATCATTATATTTCAGCATTTGAACTTGTTAAAAAGATTGTTTGATGACTTATTTTTAGATATTACTTGATGTCCCATGCACAAATGATAGGCTTTCTGTGAATAAGGACACTAACAATATGTTTCATCAAAAAAGATACACTGAGAGAATGCAGGTGCCAAAAACTCAAACTTCAATGCTCTAGTAAGAAGCTCACACTCTTTTATTTATATTCGCTGAATAAAATTTTTAAATACTGTGCTACTGTGTATGTGCAACTTTTAAATACTGTGTACAATTTTTAAATACTGTGCATTAAATGCAACTAACAAACAGAATATACTCATATGCATGCAATGATGTATTGAATATTCAAAAGGGGAACCTCAATTAATGGAAATTTTTGGGATCGTGAATATTAACTCTTCAGGTTAAAGTTCATGTTTTTCTATATGCCAGTAGAGTTGGCTTGATTTTGCTAGTTTCTCATGGTCTACTGTTTTAATAAAAATTCTCTTGTTTTTTTTGTACATTTTAGAAAATTCCCAATAATTGAGTCATTTTCCTAAAATTCCTATTGAAATAGAATCTTTGCACGGATTATTGCTTGCTTAAATATTTAAATAAGTATTACTAATATATAATGAAGCTAGTTTATTTTTATTCAGAACACCCTTTTTAAATTACTTAAGAAATCTTAATTATTTTTTTCGACTTAAATGCCCATTATTATCAAAATTATGAGTAAATATAATACTAAACATTTCAAGCATATTTAATGCCAATCATAACTGGAAAATGTTACAGTTTTTCTTTTTTGATGACTATGAAAATTCCTAAAATTCCCTATGTGTAAAATATTTAGTACATTATGCAACAATTATCATGACATTTATATTTTGTAAAATCTACTGGATTTTTTTCTATCTATGTTTTCAGCTATGTTTTTCTTTTATAAACTCAGAAAATTGAGATAAATGCATATAGATTATTTTATACTTTTAACAGAATAATTCTGAAGTAGAAGCAATTAACGTATATATTATATACTTATATTATAATTATCTAATTGACTATAAGAAAAAGAGTCTGCAGAATGACTGTTTTGTGATTTTACTTCTAACAGTCTTAAATATTTACAGTGGTGGCCAAAAGTGTGGACACTTTTTGAAAGTTTCATGTTTTTCAACTTTGTGTGCTTGTAGAATATATTAATTTTCACTTAAATACAAACGTTTATATATCAAATTGAAGGTAATTTAATGTAGAATTTAATAATAAATACAGTATTACAATATCTGTATTACAAAAAAAGTTATGCAATTAATAGTAAGATCTATCTTAGATTTGCATTTTTTTAAAGTGATACTTACACAATCAATACTTAGTAGGATAACCCTTATTTTTTAAGACAGCTTCACAGCGTCTTTTCATCGAGTGAACGAGTGTTTGGAGTTCATCTTTCGTAATCACATGGTGCCAAGAATCAATTATAGCTTCACTTAGTTGTCTTTTATTGGATGGACGTTTTTTTCGTACAAGAATTTTCAAACGTCGCCACAAATTTTCAATTGGATTGAGATCAGGGCTGTTTCCTGGCCATGGTAATATATCTATGCCTTTATTTTGAAAGCATGCTTTGCATACTTTTGCTGTGTGGCATGGAGCTGAATCCTGCTGAAAAATAAATGGTTCGTTGTTGGGGAAGAGATCCCTGATGGAAGGTATCAATTTTGGTTTCAGGACAGTTTCGATGTATTTTTTGGCATTCAGGATGCCAAATCAGGCCGAAAAAAATGCACAAGTGCTACTACCGATAGAAAAATTAAATGGCTATGCCTTCAAGATAGAAAAATGTCATCAGATGCCATTAGATGTGAAATGAATGCAGCTGGTATTGCAGTAAGTTCAAGAACAATAAGAAGAAGGTTATCAGGATTTGGACTACAAGCTAGAATTCCAAGGAAAAAACCATATTTAAATCAAAAGCAACGCGAAAAACGAGTTAAGTCGGCAAAAGAACACATTAAATGGTCAGAAAATCAATGGAAGCAAGTAATCTGGAGTGATGAGAGTAAAATATCGCTCTTTGGAAGTGATGGTAGAAAATACGTGAGACGTAGAGTAGGTGAAGCGCTTCATCCTGATTGCATTGAAGCAACTACAAAAAATCCAACAAATGTCATGATTTGGGCATGTATGTCTGCAGATGGTGTGGGCCGAATTCAAGTGATTGATGGCATCCTGAATGCCAAAAAATACATCGAAACTGCCCTGAAACCAAAATTGATACCTTCCATCAGGGATCTCTTCTCCAACAACGCACCATTTATTTTTCAGCAGGATTCAGCTCCATGCCACACAGCAAAAGTATGCAAAGCATGGTTTCAAAATAAAGGCATAGATATATTACCATGGCCAGGAAACAGCCCTGATCTCAATCCAATTGAAAATTTGTGGCGACGTTTGAAAATTCTTGTACGAAAAAAACGTCCATCCAATAAAAGACAACTAAGTGAAGCTATAATTGATTCTTGGCACCATGTGATTACGAAAGATGAACTCCAAACACTCGTTCACTCGATGAAAAGACGCTGTGAAGCTGTCTTAAAAAATAAGGGTTATCCTACTAAGTATTGATTGTGTAAGTATCACTTTAAAAAAATGCAAATCTAAGATAGATCTTACTATTAGTTGCATAACTTTTTTTGTAATACAGATATTGTAATACTGTATTTATTATTAAATTCTACATTAAATTACCTTCAATTTGATATATAAACGTTTGTATTTAAGTGAAAATTAATATATTCTACAAGCACACAAAGTTGAAAAACATGAAACTTTCAAAAAGTGTCCGCACTTTCGGCCACCACTGTAAGTACATTTATTAAGTGCTTGGTAATGTTTTTTTCTTATTTTTTGTTTATCTAATAAAGTTTTTTTCTTAAGTTGCTTAGAAAATTTAATAAAAAAATTTGCATATTGCAGAAAAGTTAACTTGACTTCAAACTTAGACTAGAAGTTAACTTAGACTTTAAATTTTATAACACAAAATTAAATTAAATTTCCTCGATTATCTTAATCCCTTTCATCCTAACACCTCTGTAAACCATAGTCAATTTTCAATACTCTCGCTTATTTATTGTTATTTTTTTTTCTCCAATTTTAGTAATATGTTGCAATAATGAAAATAAATGTGAGACTTTTAAAACGAATGTCCACCTAGATTTGATCTTTTTATGTCAGCAACTAATATATACTTTGTTTGCTTCTTAATTATTTGCTTTAGTTTTGTTTAAGAAATCCTCGTATCATTCACCTTTTTATTATTACTAATGTTGTTTGGTTTGATCATTAACCATGTGTTTAATAAAATATAAAATCTAATCATGGAATATATAATATTACAAAGTTAAGAAATTTTACTGCTGACCCTTGAACAGTTGAAACATTTTTAACAGTGACCCTTTTCTTAAAAATTGAAAGTTTTAAATGAGTAAAAAACTGCCGATATTAATAATGTAAGACATTTATAAAAATCTAATAAACTTTTCAAAGTTCATTTCTAAAGTGAAGAATATTCCTATATATAGCTAATATTTATTACAAAGTTATAATACTAAGATGCACATGAGGTGCATTTTCAACAAAAGAATGGCGATCATTTTTTATCGCCATTTGCTATATTCATTGCTATATTATTGCTGGTGACGAACATCGATTTTTCCCTATATAATATATAGTAGTACAGTAAAGCAGCATTTCTCAATTGTCGTTCATTTTATTATAGTCCGTCTTTTTGATTTTCCGTCTTTCAATGAATATTTATTTTCAATTTGTTTTCCAAATTAAGTTTTCAATTACAAATATAACTTATTATTTAAAAATGTAATAATTATTTTTTGTTAAAATAAATAAAAAAATTATTACTATATATAAAAACAATGTTTTTTATACTTATTGCAAAATGATCAAACAATGAGGTCGCACCACAATAAAAGAATGGGATTGATCGACTTATCTAAACAAAATATTGTTGAAACTAAATCCGCTTGAGTTTGTATTTTTTCCCCAACATTTTTAGATAGTTTGCAAAGTTAAATTAGGATTATTTTTTGAAATAACAAATTTATAAATCTATGGCAAAACATTAATGATGATCAAGTGTAAAATAAGTGGAAATATGCCTAGCTCCAGGAAAAGATTAGTAGTGTATTTTAGCAATTGGTGTAAAATATATACAAGGTTTTTTTTAGCTGTAAAAAATAAATAAAAAAAAATAGGCTTTTTTTTTCTTTAGAAAAATCATCTATTTTTGCTATTATATATGGAACATTGTCATAGAAAATGAGCTATAAATCTCTGAAAAATTCTTCAAAATAGCACTATACTGTGTTAATTGGTCAAGAAACAAGTTTAGTTCTGAAATGTTTCTGGGGTGACACCCATGTGTCCTTGTTCATTCTTTATCTACGCAATGTTAAAATAGTTCATTTATACGACCAAAACATATAAATTATTGGTTACATGTTGTTCTCTGTTTTATATTTAGTTTGGATTCAAGAAACTTCAAGTGAGGTTCCTTAAAGAAATCTTTGACCCTCAGCTCCAGCTGAATGAAAATCATAAATTGAGTAGGAATTTGAATAGTGAAGGGTCATTCAAATCACTAGAGTGTGTGCTAAAAGGACATGGCATAATCTTAGTAATATCAGTACTGATAACTTAACACACTTTCCATTTTTTCTATAAAAGAACTTCCTTTTTATGTTCACACGTCTCTAATCTCAATGTTTAGTGATATTCCTATAAATTGTGAATCTTTATTATTTTCCACATCAATAATATTAAATTCCAAGTGAACAATGCTATCACATTATCAAAATTATTTTTTACAAGCAATTTTTATTAATTTTTTAATATTCAGCTGTACATCTTTTCAATTATATCACCATTTACACCAGTCCCCTGAAAGATATGTAAATGGTGCTTTACTGTGTTTATAACATCGTAGTACAATTTGAATGGGGAAAAAAGCCTAACAAAGTTTGTAAACGAATGTAAATCAGTGAAATCAGCTTAAGATTTAGAATTCGATGATGTTTTGTGGCAATTATTTATCCAAAAAAGGAACAAAAGAGTGCAGCATCTGGAACAATAGTGTGAATGAATTTTAAAATAAAATATTGTTTGCACCTATTTGACAAAAATCATTCATATTGATTCTTTTAGCAATATGTGTGTTCATATCTTGTTGTTAACGGGATTTTCATTGCTTTAATTACTTGATTTTTTTTATTAATAGTTTAAGTAGAAAGTAATTTTTATTTATAATTAAATACTATATATATTCTTAAGTTTTTTTAAATAGGAAAGAAGTTATGTAAATGAGAATGTAAAATTTGTAAATTATATCTTTTCATTAGCTGTATGCAAAATAATTTGCTATTTAACAAATCTATTTCAACTATGTTTAGTTTGCTTTGTGAGTGTGTTTTTTTTTTCTGAATACTGAAATATTTTTTCTAAGTACTTTAAACTTTATTAAATATGTAGTTTGTATATATAAATAATGAACAAAGACTTGTTCTCCCTAGATGAGTTCAAAATAATTGTATTCTTTTTATATTTTCTATTCTAAATTAGTTTGCTCATCATTTGATATCTAACTGACAACTTGGCTTTCTTTTTACCTGTCATGAGGTTGTTGAGCTTAGACTTAGAGGTTGGGCAGCTCTGACGAGCAGGGCACATCGACCAGAGGTCTATTGTACCCAAACCCTAAAATCATGATTAGCATGAAAGCCCTATGGCTGAAATAAAATTCAGCAAGCACCTTACAGGAACATCTTGCAGTTCCCAGGCATTGACGATATGCTGTCCTAAATGCCCAAATCTTTGAGCAGAATAGACCTCACAATCACAGAGTATGTGTCGTGATGTCTCTTCTTCTAGATGACATCCCCGACAAAGAGAATTGGATTCTATTTCCATAATGTTTAGGTGTCTTCTGAGGCGTCTTAGGTGTCCGTCATCAGCGTACCCGATACAGGGAATGCCAAGAGTAGTTAACTGAACTAACAAGGAGTCCATTACCATACACCATAGGATAGGGGACAGAACCCCTCTCTGGGGGCATCCTGCAGTTGCATGCACTTTCATGCTTGCACCCAATAGAGAGGAACAAACATACCTAGAGGATAGCAAATTTGCTATCCATCTGGTAATTATTGAGTTTATGCCTCTGTTCCTAAGTGCATCGATGATAGTTTCAACAGGGACTTTATCAAACGCACCTTCAATATCAATGAATACCGTGAGAGCCCCTTATCTGTGATAGATTTCTCAAGCAGGTAGGAGAGCTCATACAGAGCGGTGTCTGTAGACTTGCCTGGTTGATAGGCATGCTGTGTGGAGGACAGTGGCCTTTCTATGAGCACAGTGTCTCTGAAGTGTCTGTCAATTAGCTTTTCGATCGCTTTCAACAGACAAGAAGTGAGGCTGATTGGTCTGAATGATTTAGCCTCAAAGTAATTCTCCTTACCTGGTTTTGGTATGAAAATCACCCTGGTATTCCTCCAAGAGAGAGGTATATACCCAAATGCTATACAGGATCGAAAAATCCTACATAGAATAGGGGCCAGTGTATTCACCCCCTGGATAAGCATCATTGGTATGATGTCATCCATGCCTGGTGACTTGTAGGGCTTAAAAGACTTTATGGCTCATACAACCTTCTCATAGGAGACCACCATTTTGGCAGCTTCCCAGTCATTCCTACTACAAGTAGTTGTGGTACTAATATGTAGGTTTTCATTCTCTACAGGATGAGGTCCAGGGAAGTGTGCTTCTAGTAATTCTCCAAGAGCCTCTTCCCCTGATTCACTGTATCTTCCGTTTGTAAGACGGATGGCATTTAAACTGCAATTAAAGTCTTTAGTAAGAAATTTTGCAATCTTTGCGGTGGCAGAAGTAGTGTTAATGCCATCGCAGAAAGTCTGCCATGAGCGACGTTTAGATGCTCTGATTGCCTTGTTATAAGCAGTTAGAGCGTTTCTGTAGGACTTCCATTCTCCAGATTTCTTTGCTCTGTTAAATAACTTCCTACATTTTTTACGTAATTTACTAAGCTCAGAAGACCACCAGCCTAGCCTTGGGGAGCTAGTAGACATAACCTGACAAGAAATATGATACGAATCGATCTGTTGCACTTGGTCAACAGTCCACTCCACATCATTAACATTCTTGTACTTACCAGAGAAGCTCCCAATCTTCCACTCCAGAGCTGCTCTAAAGGAACCCCAATCAGCTGTTCTGGAGTTCCTCCTTACGACCTTCAGACCTGAGAGGCCTTTAATAGAAAAAATAATTAGTTGGTGATCTGAAGCAGTAACTGCCCCAGATACCTTCCAATCAGTAACGTAATCTACTGAACTAGAGTTACATAAAGTAAGGTCAATGACTTCCCTTCTGTTACAAGTAACGAAGGTAGGTTCATTGCCTTTATTAAGGACATATGAATTAAAAAGTAAGGTATGTTCCATAAGTACATCCCCCCGCTGGTTACAATTACTGCTACCCCACACTGTGTGGTGAGCATTTGCATCACAGCCGAAGATGAATCTACAGCTTGAACTACAGTGGGCAATTAGGGCCCTAGTAATGTCCTCACATGGGAGATAGGCTGAAGCTATGACAAAATCAGAGATTGTCTTATTGTCATAGAATTTTAGCTTTACAGCAACTAAATCCCTGAGAAAGTTAACAAGATTAAGGGCATTTAGATTAGACCTAGCCACAATGCAGGTCCTGGGAAGGTCGCAACGGGTATCATAAAAGATACTAAAACCTTTAACATTGAGACCCATTATTCTACCCTTGCGGCTCCGAGGCTCTTGTATAAGAGCAATATCTAGTTCTCCATCATTCAACCTTTTAGCCATAAGGCAGCAATGCTATGATGGAGGTTAATTTGACCAGCCTTGATTGTAGCCATTGGTTAACAGTATGAGTGAAACCAGATTGGCCATCTATCCTAGTTATCTTTAGAAGAAAAATCTTCCTTTAACAGCTCCATTGCTTCATCAATACTAAGCATGGAAGCTGGTGAGTCAGGTTGTTGAGCTTAAATAGCTATGATTTCATTTATTCAATAATTATTTTGTAATAATAATAATTATTAGACATTTTTGTTAGAAACACTAAGAAATTCAATTATAATATTGTTTTCAAATATTAAGTTATATCAATGCGGTTCATCTAAACTTTAATTCATAAATATAAAAAAAATAATGCCTGATTGAAATAAAGAAAAACTAATTTTTTTTTTTAATATTTGGAAGAAAAAAATTCATTTTACAAACTTTGTAAATAAATTTGTTTGTATCACTAAACTCTTGTATCAAATTTGTAAATATTTAGTTTGAAAAAATATAATTATTTCCCACATTCAATTCATATATTTACATAATTATCTTACATATTCTACATATATATAAGTGTTATATATGCATACTTTTTTTTTCTAGCCATGCACTACAAGCCCTAAAACCCAATGGCTCTTTAATATATTCTACATGTTCCCTCTCACCTATTCAGAATGATGGAGTAGTTCACATGGCCTTATCCAAACTATCAGTGGAAACTTCCCTAGACTTTGTTGTTAATGATTTAAGTGAAGCTTTCTTTCCTCTACGTAAAATGTTCCAATTTAGTGATACTTGTAGATATGGACAGCTAGTTGTGCCATTTTTACCTTTGAATTACGGTCCTATGTACATAGCAAAAATTACTAGAACTAAATAAAAATTTATAGATTTTTTTAAGTGTTTATTTATTTACTCATATTTTGTGCTTTTTTCTTCGTGATTTTATCTTTGTGCTTCGTGATTTTATTTCTTTTTGGTACATTTTAAGGATCAAAATTTTATTTATTTAACCTTTTGCTTAAGGCTAGTACAATATGTGGACCACATGTTATGGTACAACGTGGTATACCATAAGCAAAGGGTTAACAAAAGAATTCAGTATATTGACATCATTGTTCCGTCAAATTATGGTGGACACAATCGTTTCTTCCCAATTTTCGAGGATATCTTAATTCTTTGAATACCGAGGGACCTAAATCGCAACATGCCTAGAATACCGCAAACGCCCGAAGCTGGAAAACAGGTAGCAAAAAGTTCCTTCCCCCAGGTTTACTCTGGAATGACAGAATGACTGATCTTCTTATTCACCTGCGGAAATATCCCCAAAATGGGTTTTCAAAGGGAAGAAAGACATTATTTGAAGCAAGAATATCGCTAACGTAGCAATATTTATAAAATGTTAATAAATGCTTTCATTTTTTTTTAAAATTTTATTATTTAAATGGAAAATTAAGTATGTAATTTCATGCAATCAAGTTATAAAATTTCTAAATGAAGCATTTAAATTGGAAATGATATTCTCACTCAAATAAAATCCTTTTTTTCGTCGTAAAATAAAAACTAATATAATTCAATAACCTAAATGGTTGAAAAATAAACTTTTAATTTCTTAGAGACCAACATTTAAAATTAACATCAGTCATTAAGGAGAAATTAATTTGGTGATAGTATTAAAAATATTCATTCAACCTAAATGTGTGTCTTATTTTACATCATTTTACAATTTGAAATAAGATGAACTTTTCTTTTTATTTAATAAAGCTCTGAAAATATTAAAAATTTTATCCCAGAAACTATTCATTTCACCCCTAGGTAAAAAAAAAATATTTTTCACTGCACTAAATTCATTTCAGTGAAATTTTCATTTGTAAATAATATTCCTTCTAGCGCTGCACCATAAAAGATTTTGCAAACTTGTAAAAAATGCTGAAGAACTATTTTAACAATAATATTTTAAGTACAATATTTCTATATAAATTTTAAAAAATCAAGAAGTACAATTTTTTTGAAATCTGAAAGTTAAAAGAAATAATAATAAATAAATGTATTTGTTATAAAGGTCTTGTAAATAATCTAAATCATTTAACTAATTTTTTAATTATTTGAAAGTAAACGAATCGAAATAGATGCCAAAATTTTGTATCTGTCTTACCATAATTTATATAAAAATATTTTAGTTTTTGCATTCCAAGTATGATTTTTAATGCGCTCTGATTATATGTAGTAATTTGTAGAAATAAAAACATTTTATTGAATAAAATAAAAGTATTGTCAGACTACTTTTATAGTATTTCAGAAAAATTCCTTAAGCTGCAATTTTTATATTTATTAAAATCTGTTGTTCAATATTTTTTTGTTGAATATCTTATCTTGTTTTTTGAAGCATCCATTTTTGCTGTAATTTTTCCACGTGTCCTCCTTTTTGATAATTTTTCTCACAAATTTTTAAAATATTGTTAAAAAAAAATTAAAATACAATAAATATGGATAATTAAGTAAATTGATTAAAAAAATTATATTTATAATATAAACAATAAAACTGCATTTAAATTTTAATAAATAATTGCTAATCATTAGGCAAAAGTAAGTTTATGTGTAATTTAATAAAAATCTATTCATTGAAAAATTATCTTAAATTACAAAAGTGACTTACAAGCAAACAAAATAAGTGTTTAACTATGTAACAATATATCCAAAGTTTAGCAAATATATATATATATATATACTTACGATCTCAAAATTTTTATTTACTTATTATTACTTTTTAAATTCATTTTTAAAAACTTTTAATGACTATATGTAATAATCTATATTTAACTACTATATTTAATGCATAATTTTTTAACCTCCGATCCCGTCGTTAATCAGCCAGACAGCTATTCTTTACGCATGCTAGCGAACACAATTACTTACTATTTTAACTCTACTCAGATTTATCTTTCTGTCACGTTTTACTTGTAATTATTTCTTTTTGAGTATGCCACTAAAAATTTCTGCATTTTACTGAAGAGTCGGAAATTGGCATTTGTTTATCAACATATGGTGACAATACATGGGTGTGGTGACAAGAAATTTCTTTGAAAGTAAGAGGAACATGGAAGAAATTTCTTACACTACCACACCATAATTTTGATGACAAAGATATCAGTCCCAACTTCAAGTAAAAATAGAGAAAATCTACAATATGACATGTTATTTTTCATATAACAATAGCCTTTAGAAGCTATGCTGAGAACGCTTATCTTCTGCAGAAATGAATGAGTAACTTGTTGTTGCTAATTCCCATCTGGTCTGACGGGGTCAGACCAGATCAATAAATCCGTTGACATTTAGAAAATCCTATGAGTAATATATGTAGGTGGTCTGACAGATGAATATAGAACATTCATTATGATGGAAAGAATAAGTTTAGGAGAAATTACAGTTAACTACCGATTATCTTCCAGCAAAGGATCCCCTTCGTAGTAAGATAACGTTTAAAATTGAAAATAAATCAATTCATGGAGATTTCACTATTTTAAGAGTTTTGACACTAGCTCATTCTTCACTAGTAAACATTCGTGTTCTCAGACCAGGTGTTAATAAAAAAATGGGTCGTTGCAGCTTCAAGTGCAATACCTAAGTAATAACAAGCATTGAAAAGGTGAAAATAGCGAGGCATTCATAAACAGAAAGACAAGGTGAATTATGATTTACAATTGTCGAACTACAAATGCAGAATAAAGTTCAAATTTCAAAGAATAGTTTCGGTACCCATCAAAGCAGTTTCTTCTCCTGGATCCTATTGTTATAAATATAAAAACCATTTTGTAAGGCATCAAAACCTACGATCTAATTTTAAAATTTTTTTTATCTATTTATTTTATATTTAAAAATAAAATTATAACTAATTGTATTTAGTAATCTTTCAGTCTTGTATAAAAAATAATAATATATTTTTAAATTACTGTTATTTCTTTTTTCTAAAAACACTGCAAATTTCTAGCATTTTATTATTTTGAACAATTGATATATTTTTAAAGACACAATAAGTAATTTAATGTTTTTTAAAAAATTTTTTTGACACCATTAATCTAGTATTTTCTTTTCAACGTAAGTGACCAAAAAAGTTCTGATAAAATGAAGTAGACAACTTCATAATTTAGGTTATTTAATTTTGAGTTTATATTTGTTTCTACATGTCTCTCTGTCTTTCTGCAAAGTTAAAGAATACTAAATTTCTCAACTATAAATTATAAGATTATGAGAATTTTATTTTATTTTTACAATAAAATATTTCATTTAACTTTTTCTCGAGAAGTATTGTCAGGAAATGTTCGTTAGGGGCAATAGTAGTTTCAGTTGGTGCTACATTATCGAATTCATCTTCCTCCCCTGATTCATTAAAATTAGACTCATCTGTCTCATCATTGAAAACTATTTTATTATTTCTTCGGTCGAAAGTCTTTTGCGGCGAAAAGAAATTTTCGTTTATATAAAAAGAGACAAGATAAAACAACTTTACAAGAGCCGAATGATATGAAACAAACTTTTGTTGAAAAATCCCTCTACTTTCTCCCCTTTTTGCAAATTACCTTCAAGGACAATTACTGCCACACCTCCCTTAGTTTCACGGGCACTTCGGGCGTTTTCGGTAGTTTAGTTCACGAGGCGTTTCGGGCGTTCCGGTAGTGAAAGTGTTTTAAAAATAATTTGAAATATGCAAATAATTATAAAAATGCATATGAATGTAATTTATTATGTGATCAATGCTTCTACTTAACTTATATATCCAGTATTTTTTACTTAAACTAGAATAGTGTATTGTATACTGAATTCTCTAACTGCAAAGCGAATTATGAGGATTTCGAACTTAAATTTTCCTACCAATTAATACTTTTTCTTGGAGAAACAGGAAAAAAAAAAGAATCAGTTATCTCTCAAAAAATCCAACAGCTGCCAACTCTACTGGAAAATCTACCTCTGGATTTCGCCATTTTTCTTACTGGATTCTCCTGATTTAATGAAAAATCTTCTTGGTTTTTGCATACTTCAGAAAATTTCTTAAGATAAAGAAAGATAATAAAAAAAAATCGCAATCAATTTTTATTACTGGTCTTACAGCTTTCTAGATAATTTCTACTATGGGGCTGTTCTAATATATTGTTTGCATGTTGTTAGGAATTTTGACTCTCCTACCCCCCCTTTTTTTGGGGGGGGGAGCTATTTTTATTTTTTTTATTTTGTTCCAACTTTGATTTTTATTCTAGTTATCTAATTTTAAAGTTGAATTCAGAGGAAAGATGTAACTTTGTACAAAGCAAATATTATATTTCAGTTCATTTTACAATATTTTAAGTAGAATAACTTTTAGGAATGCTTAGTGTTTTCCTTCTTGTGGTCAAAACTTTTGAGCTCTGAAACTATTCGAGAAAATAAAATAAACTTTCAACAACTAACTACTCATTTTTAAGAAATTAACTTTCCTACTCTTTTTTTTTTCTTCTGAATTTTTTTTCCAAATGTTAAACTTCCCTAAAAGTAATTTTTGTTCCTTTTTTTTTTGCATTTAAAAAAAAATTCTGAAAATAATCTTACATAAACATTGCTCTTACACTTCTCGAATTGGCAGCGTATAAGCAGACAATTCTCCGGGCCCCCCTCTTAAAGGATCTTACATAATATTAAGGTTAACGGCCCCTTTAGGGATCATATGGCTACTCTTGAATATCAATTTCCCATGAACATCAACAAAAGACATCTGCAAATGTTTAGACAGTTTAATGATATAAGATTCAAATATAAGAGTTTTTTTTTTATTAAAAGTTATTTTGTTCAAAGTAATTATCTTTTTTTCAATTTATTTTTTTAAATTGTAAAAAATAAATTTAAAAATATTTTTAATATTTGTTA